TATAGATGGTCCACAGATATCGACATCCATGACTCCAGTTTGTATTTGATCATCTGCAGCAAATGCCCAGCCAAGCTGGGCGGTAAAGGTAGATTTTCCGACGCCGCCCTTGCCGGATAGAACGAGGATCTTGTGCTTCACGGTAGCCATCCGATCACGAATCAATGGCAGCGCTGGGTCTGGACCCTTGGGTGTGTTAGAAGCGCAAATCTCTTGATTTGCGCATCCGTTGCAGGCATCGGCTTTGCCAGCTAACTCAGATTCTGTGCCCTGTCATTCAGTATAATCAGTGATGAAGTCGAGTCAGGGAATTAGTAGACTTGGTTGGGGCTTACAGGGCAGTGTTCCGGTGCGTTTGAAGGAACTGACAGAGAGTCCGGAACTACTGCTGAAGGTCGTACTGCAAGCATCTGGAGAGCTTGAAAGTCGAGTGCAAGAAATGCCAAACTACCTTACTAATAGTAGCCGGGGCCCGGTACAAAGCTTTAGTCACATTTCCTGAAAAGGATTTGCTTCTTTCCACGTGCACAATGCCATTTCATGCAGTCGCGCATTTATATTATTCATGAGACGACAACATTGAAACACAACACGTTCGACTCGAGTCCGCACTTGCAGTCATACTAGAATCGCACAACCCATGCCTAGGTAGTAGGAGCGGAGGATGCTTTTTCGTTTGCGCATTTCGTTTTTGCCCTACAATTGTTGGTACCCGAGTCACCGACAAACATGTCCATGGCGTGATGCTGCATCTTCCGCGTCAATGTTTCTCTGTGTGCAAGTAAAGGGACTTAATCAGGGTTTGGCTCGAACACAGCCAACCAACCTGCCCCCCAATTCTGTCCACCTTCGGTTGACTACGCGTCGGCCGGCGGCACGACAACGATCTACGGCGAGATCATCTATGTCCACCCACAGTCATTTTTTCTTGATGTTCAAGATCGCAGCCAAGCCACGAACCTCGTCCCGCCCTTTTCGCCGACCGACTCACAGATCCGATTTTTGACACGGACAGCGTTCTTCAACTAGCTTATAAATACTTGACTAAATCCTGGATTCGTTATACCGCCGAGCGGTGAACTCGATCCAGACTCCAGAGCACAAGTTCGGTGCCTTTCAGAGAGCCGAAAAAAAATTATTTTTGCCAGTCACGTATGAGCCGCTGTCTTATCATTCATTTGCTAAACCTGGCCCACGCACCAGACACTTGTCAACAGCAGTCCACTGTCGCGGAACACTTTCGACCGTTCAGTAAGTTTTTTTGCGACCTTGTCATGACTATCCATCTCTCATTGCTTCTCATTGGAAAGATACGGGAATCCCCCCATTTCGGCACAAGTGATACGCCGTTGTTCTGGATTGTCCTCGAAACCAAATACGTAAACTTTCGTACGTGTGCTTTCATACAATTGAATGGAAGACCAGCTGAATATACCGCTCTATTTACTTGTTATGACCGCAACTACAAGGTTGGGTTACTCCAATCCGCGCATGACTTCGGACCTAGGCACGAAGGATACTGCAACAAGGCCCATCACTGATCAGCCAAGCTCAACCCCAAGATCAGACAGAGCTGTGCAGTATAGGGCAAATCATTAACCCTGAAAGATACCGTTGGAGCCGCAGCTCCAACCAGTGTGTGAGAACTGCGGCCTGCTGGAATGAAGGGCTCTGACTACGACATTATAATTGCTGACCAAGTTAACCCCAACCCTTGCTTGCTCCTGTTTGCCTCTGCTGACTTCCTTCGATCACCCCCTGCTAGGGGGTGCCCCACTACAGCGGGCTTTCGGAAATATCCTGGTAAAGCTGAACTCCGAAATAATACGAAATCATAGTCATTGCCAGCACTTCTATTGCTGCACCGTGTTCGTCGTTCTTATCACCGCCTTTCGAGTACAGTGCAACGGCTGTCTGACTGCCAGGAATATGGAACCGCCACGGAGGCCGCGGCCGTCAAGGAAGGCATTACTACGAGTCGAAATCACCTGTATTTCCACTGTGCGCCATGTTAGACAGCTCTGGGCGGACATCTATGTCATGCAACATCCAGCACTACATCACTGAAGCAGCTCTGCTCTATCTTCTCCTAGGACGCGGTTCACATAGACCACTATCTGGGCGGTGAGCGCTCAGTCGAAGTAAAAATCCATCTGTTCGGATAATCATTTGCCTATCACGCGAGAACCTTGGTACTTAATATTTCGGAGGTAAGCTGATCTTAGTTACATGACGAGGTTGCGCCGTGATACGGAAGGCCCAATGATATTAATGAGCAAACTCAAAGAGCAGAGCAAGACTTATGGTGTTCTCCAATGGTGACTGACTCGAAGAAGGCGGAGCGCCCTTGCTTTTTCCTCCGGTATATTTAGATGTCCTACGAGTTCTTAACACTGATTCTGTAGGGTTTCTCCGGTAAACATAGTTACGTTGTCTCGTACAGAGGAAGCGACCTTCATGTTGGATGGTGCAGTAAAACGGACTTGCCTTCCTGGATTTCTTTTGCAAGAAGTCTCCGCACGCTGCTGTAAGCTCGTCACATATTGTACTCCGCCAATTCATTACCAAGCCGTCCATGAGGTCGCATGTACTATCAACGGCTCATCGCTATGGGATTTGCTTCAGCTACCTGGCTGACGAGTGCTTAAGTTGTGTACCTCGCATTCTCTCAGTGAAACGGACTACCACTTACTCATTCATTGTGAAATCGAATCCTGATGCTACCTCTTAGAAGGAAATACAGTCTTTCTTCCTTTATAGGTCTGGCGAAGGGAGACTAGATGCCACCGTACGGACCTAGTGATATTTACTCCAGTCTAACGGCACTGCCTGCAGCGAGCTAGTCGTCGAGCTAGTCAAGGCGCTCAGTGTGATTCACTCCTCTCTATCCATACCACCGAGATCTACCATGCATGGCAGTAAATTAGTTGAAGCCACGCTTGTCTATCCCTAGCTCGTCGCCAACGATTTACCAGTGCGACGGCATTGATACCATTCCCTGCAACGGTTCATTCTAGGCTCGGGAGCCAAACTCAAAACCCAACTATAACTAGTCAGGCCCTGCCATGCCCCGTAAATATTCACGGTCACGCCACTGGACAGAAGAGGAATTTGTCGGTGACAAGGCGAGCTTGCATGTTGCCTGACTGTCTATATTTTCTTATCAAGTCTTGAACTGGATTCACAGGTGGTCCGACTCGGATATGGTCGAGGGATCGACATTTGTCGCGCCTGAATGCACTATGTACACAAGGTTTATGCGGCCCGGGCGGCTGTTTACGTTGGGTATCAGGCTCACAGTAGCTCAGGTTCTCACGGGCAAGGATGTTAAAGCTACCTTGGCAATCTCGAGGTTCGTGGGTTCTGATAGTTCTGATCGCCCACAGAAGTTACAGTGTTTATGGGAAGGTTTTTATGCACGAGCACACAAACAATGATATAAACGCATTTGGGCTTGGGACTATCCTGACTGAGACGTATCTTCTTAGTCACGTCACAAGTGTGGGTGAAAGAATGGAATTCGTCCGTTTCGGTGTACGAACTCCTTTTGACACTTGCGCGCCTATCTTTCGCCACACCCCCGAAACCACGATTGAAACGCGGAAGCTCAATAGAATTGATGGGACAAGTCTGGACATCAGTCCCTGAGAGCCCACTGCAAGGAGTAAAACTCGTGCACGATGTATGTTCCATTTTACCGGGGTTTCTCATTCTATCTATCATCGTATCATATATCATATTAGCCTGCAAGCTCCTACATACCTACACTGCAGAGCGCGTCATCATCCAGCTCTGACTTATGGCCGTGGGCAAACTGTTGAAGAAGTTGACATCGTGGCATTGTTCTAGAATGTCGTACTTACCGTTGTGGCGCACCCTTGATGGGGGTGGGCGGCCACGTCATATTATCGAGGCGAACTTAAGGTAGAACATGGGACCAGACCAGATAGATGTGCGTTCCCGAGCCTTGGATCGCATCTGACCGACTCGGAGAAGACACTGATGTTCTGGATATCCTCAGGGCGATCATGATGCACTCTGGTGATATCTTGTCGCTTATGCTTGAGCAAGCTGGTGCGATGTGATCTATTTTATAAATTTAAACCAACGATAAACGAGACCTTCTGTTTAGCAAAGCATTCACAAGCCCAGGCCACTATGACGAAAGATGACAGTCTCAAAGTAAATGGGCGCCCTTTCCGCCGATTTCGAAGCGAAAAAGACGGCCTTGCAAATGTATGATTGTGTAGCTTATTTCCCCGCGTAAGGGATGGTTTTTCGACCACAAACCCTGAGTTTTCTACTGCAGAATAACCTTATGATACGCAGTGTTCGCGGCAAGTTCCTTGGTCTGTTTTTGGGTTACCAGAGTTCACCGATGCCGTAGTGATCACAACATGTACCTCATTTTCCCCCCGCAGTCTATTAACTCGTAAGTACCATATGCCCTTGATCACACTGCTCCCTCGTGCCGGGCCCACCCTCCCGCCGGCTTCTTTTATTAGCCTCTTAGCCTCCGCTGGTCGCCGCTCACTGCTGAGGTTGTCACGCTCGCTGATAGCGCTGACTCATAGTTGACACGCTTCTCTCGATACGTTCTAATCAATCAGCACTGAGATAAATTTCCGAGCTACTGATTTGATTTCGATGTAAGTCTTTTGAGACCCTTAGTAGCATGCATATTCACAGATATTCGCACAGATCAGTGTTGGAAAACCATAACGTTGCCATGCTCTACCGGGCCCGTCGGGTCCTCCTGGATTAGCCCGGATACCCTGATACGGACGGTTCTCGCTTACCAGTACTGCGTTTCTCTCATATATGGGAAGGGAAGCCTTTACGCCATCAGCCGAAGGCCCGAATGTCATAAGAATATTGAAAGGAAAGCGATTAATATCCTTTCTTTCTTACACCTTGACATTTCTATCAACCTCTACCTTTTTACTCCCGTTCTCTATCCCTCTGTACAATTTACACTATTAGTTCCGCCGTGTATCTTCATGTCATCGTCAAAACGAAGAGCACCGCTCAGCATTGACTTCATAATAGTTGGAGCTGGTACGTGAACAACTTGCAGGTTGATCTTGTGTTCAATTCTCTTCGTAAGGTATTGCTGGCCTGGCCACCGCGTTTAGATTATGCCAGGCAGGGCATCGTGTTCGTGTTTTCGACAAGGCTGCAGGGCCAAACCGAGTGGGTCGTGTGTGCGAAAGCGAAGGCAAACTCTGAACTAAATCTTGCAGCGCGCTGGTGGTACCCATCTCCCACCTAATGCTACCAAAGTTTTGATGGATTGGGGATTCAAGGACGAACTACTGAAACACGGACTGAGCACACGTGCTAGCACATTCATTTCAAGTAAGGAACCCGTAGCATGCAGTTGATATTGAACTCCAGCTCATAAACTGAACCTGGCAGTTGATACTGGAAAAGTCATAGGATGCCTCGAATGGAAGGAAGATGTTCTTCAGGAGACAGGAGCGGACTATATGGTTATAAGTGTAAGTTTATTTATACCTGCCCAAGCATCCTGGAAGGTGTTCATTCTGCTTTGCAGTATCGTGACCTCTACGATATGCTACATCGTGCAGCGATCAACGCGGGTGCCCGTATTACATATGGCACAACGGTCACCAGCGTGCACGCAGACCCGCCCCGCGTTGAGCTTCAGGATGGCACCGTCCTCAAAGCAGATATGGTTATTGGCGCTGATGGTCCACGAAGTACAGTCCGCGAAGCGGTCGGAGGGTGGTCAAGCGAAGAGGTGCCAGAAGGGCACAGTGCTTACGTGTAATCTGCCTTTCTCATTGTCATATGTCGGGAACGGCCGCTGACAGGGAAACCTGGAGCAGTGCGATTATATCCCGGGATGTCCTTCAAAATGACCCCGAGCTCAGCGACCTGACGCGATTTCATGAAAATAGACCTGACGTACGTTGCCCGCCCTTTCCTTCCAATGAGAGTTCACATGTTGCACATTTCAGTACCCGATATGGACTGGAGACTCTAGACATGTCATAGCCTTCACGGTGGTATGGTTTTCCCTTTGTGGTATTTTTATGACTCAATCTTCACAGGCAGGAGGGGCTGAATTTGCGATCCATGCATTTTTACCTGACAGCGAGGTTGACGGCATCGGTGACAAGGATGGTTGGGATGTGATCGTACCTCGAGAAAAGCTCCCTTTTCATTTTGAACCGAAGTGCGTTGTTTGATCCGACATCCACACAACGATCTAACACATCATTATTTGATAAGGTTGCAGCGCTTGCTGGATATACCTGCTACGTATCAGAGGGTGCGACTTTTCCAAAGAGAATGCGCTGAAGAATGGACAGATGGATCAGGAAGGCTGCTCATTATGGGAGAAGCTGCCCATCCATTATATGTAAGTCCATATGAACTCCGAACTCCGAACGATAATAATAACCATCTACAGCCTTGCGTTCTACAAAGTTGCAGTATGCAAATAGAGGACGCTGAAGTGCTCGGCACCCTCTTCTCTCGATTACGAGCCTGGGATCAATTACCTCACTTAGCTGAAGCGTTCCAGGAGCTGCGCGAACCACGTACGCGCGCCATATATGCAAAGGAGACGAAGGCTTTTGATACGGTATGGGTGGGTCCTGGGCCACAACGTGATGCACGAGATCAGGCCCTCTACGGCATGATGGTGGAAGGGCACAAGGGCTGGGACGAGTCGAAAATGCGCTGGCAGTGGGATGAGATTTGCGAGGTCTTCGGCTATAATGCGCGGGACGCAGCTGAAGACTGGTGGGTCATGTGGGGTATGTTGAGAGAAAGAAGTATAACAAGGGAAGGATATTGTCCTTCCAGTTATACTGTGCCTTTCTGTATGGGGGCAACCGTTACACATTACGCAGAGCTGCGTAACTGATATCCGGTCATGGTTTCCAGTTAGACATCTTGTGTCGTGCATGTGTAGAAGAAACGGAGAAAAAATTATACCCACCGCCACGTACTACTGTAGGATACGTAGTATACCCCACATTTTCTCAATGTTCTTGAGTCAACATATTCTGCATATCATTCATTGCAAAGGGTCCATCAGCTCTGACACTAGTCCACACTCATGAATTTCTACTGAGTCCAAAATCCGAATAGGGGGCAATGATCCCATGTACAAGACTTTCCGAGCCTTCTGATATCTTCAACGTTGAACACGTCGCATGGTGTCGCCAGAGCCAGTAACCACAGTAGCTGTTATACATACTCAGCCTGTAGGTTTGCAGTCGTATGACTTTGACATAAATGTGCCTGTGGCGATTATCGTGTCATATACACTCAGTCCTTTGGTAAACTAAACTCAATCTACAGCCAAATTCTCACTGGTCTTGTGCTGAACCCCCAGATCTGACAGGTCTCTGCAAGAGCATGCGGATCTCTAAACACTGTCAGTGTTATATAGCAGCTGACTGGAATAAGCTGATAGTAATGTAACGGTAGTGATGAAATGACACCAGAGTGACATCATGCAAGTACGGTCCGTGCCTTATTGTCTATAGAGGACGCGACTCTATGATTGCTCGCGAATAGCAACCTCTGTAAATAATATGAGTGGGCGTTCAACTGGACCAGGAGAATGGACCTACTGAAAAACTCATAAGATAGCCAACATAACGCGTTACTGGGCATGTGCGTCAAAACTCGTGGTGACATTCCCCGTCCAAACCCTCTTATTCCATCTCTCCTCCATATTATACGAAGTGCATCCAACATTCCCCCAACTCTTCGAATCTCGGAATCATGTGATGAGCCTCTGGTCTGCAAAAGGGTTTTCGCAACATCCAGAGGAGTGGTGACACCTGCGGCCACGCCGCCCGCCATACCACCTGCGATCATATGCGTGATTGGCGAGTAGTCGCCCGATGGATTTAAAAGTTTTTTCATGTGCTCATAGACTGTGAATTGCACGGCCGTGAACGGGACTGACATCGTTAGGGTTGTGGGATACGAGAGATAGAACGCAGAGAGGCCTTCTGTCTGGTACACGACCCGCAATGCAGTAAACACGGAACGGAACTCCGACTGGTGCACCTGCATGCGTTGCTTGATGACTATAAGAAGTGTGATGAGTTGGAGAGTGTGGCACAAGTAGCTGGGAACTCACCGTCGAAGGGGTTCATGAGGGCATCGCTAGCAATGGTGGCGGATGCACCTGCCAGTGCTGTGACGCAATGGTAAGTACATGTTGACTACGTAGCAGACAGCCAGGAAATTAGAATCCAGATATGAGTGACAAAACGATGTGGAAGGAGAAGGCGATGGTCGATAGGGAACGAATACGAATGGTGAACATACATGTTGCAAGCCATTGATTTCCGGCAGCATTGCCACCCGCTAATTCCTTCATCGCCTCATACGTCCCAAAGTGGACTGCATGGGCTGGTCCCGCACCCAATATCACTGAAGAGACACCTCGCCATAGAGCTCGCATGCCTTCCGTAGATGATATCCGAGTGAATGCATTTCCGATCCCTGTGTAAACAGCAGCAGGTGACGTGGCGAATACTTGCATTCGTGTCTAAATATCCTGTCAACCTCATGTCACTGACGAAGTTTGGATCCTACTTTTATGCTGTCTATTGGGAACATGACCGCGTGTTCTGTGATACCAGCCTGAGTGAAAAGTTCAGTATGCGTCCTTGGGACATTACAGTGCGCAAATCCGTCGCGAACGCGAGTGCGAGGTGGGGGCCGAAAACTCTAAACTTACCAGAGCTCCGGCGAGCATGTTAACCTGTAGTTCTAGTTGGTGCAAATTTTACTGATAGACCAGCTAAATGACTTACCCCAGTGCTAGTGTCAGATGGGAGTGCCTCATAGTCAAGCTCTTCAGCCATCCAAGCAGTCTATGTGGAAGAAAAGAAGGACAGTGGAGATGTAAGCCTTAAGGCCGTTTTTTTCGCCGTAAAGGAGTAGTAACGGTGCACGACAAAAATCTCGAAGGATGACCGCCTCGCCGTACAGAGACTGAACTCGTGTCTTTAGTGCGCTGTTGGCAGGACTAGGAAGAGGTCAACCTTGTGAGTCTTGTCGGAAGTATGATCGCGCAGAGAAAAACGCGACTCGTCCGAACAAAACCGGCGTGAACAGTAAATTACTCAATCATTAATAATGCCGGTGTTTGCTAAATACCAATTCTAGAGCTCGGACTGAAATTTGGTTCCGTTTTCAAGTCCGTCATGGACCACAATGACACGGCCAAGCACGAGTAAAATTTAAATCAACCACGAAACGGACGCCAAGCAAATACTTTATAGGGATGGGATCAGCATACACATGTCTTCTTGTCCCTAGTAATGTTAGTGCTCCTCAACTGTTATATTCTTCCTCTCCTTGTCCTCTTTTGCCAGACGATCATGCTCCTCAATATCACTAAGGTCGAAAAAATACGCTGAATCATTCATCATCGATGGAGATTGGAAAACAATACTCACATAACTTCCCACGGATAATCAAGCCTATGATTCGTTTAACTCTCATCAGACTGGAGTAAAAGGAATAAATCTTACCACACGTCCTCCACTTCAGCACCTGCGAAATATCTTGTGGAAATTTTGTGAAATCATGTGAAATAAACACTTGTTGTAGTACTCACGGGATATTCGGTGGCAGCTTTCCAAGTTTTGGCTTGAGCTTGTTGTGCACCACGAAGACTGCAAACTTCGTGCGTTTCGAGTCACGCTCAGACTCTGGAAGCAGCTGAAGTTCTGCTTCAACATCTTTCTGGAGCTCACTCAATGCATATCTGAATAGTGGATAGGATGAGTACAACCAACAAAGACTGTTTTTGTGGAGCTCTTACTGGAGAGTTTTGCGCGTATCGTCGACTTCATCCTATTCAAATTATTGGTTGGATTCACATAATAAAAACCGAGGAGTTAGAGCTTACGATGATTAACGCCCGTCTTCCGAGCAATCTTTTGCCCGGGTCTGGCCCTCTGTCGAGATTACCCGTGTCAATATTAGATCCTGTGTGCAACTGATAACACCGTACAGCCACTGGGTGCGAACAACCTCGCCGTTAAGCTGCTCTACAGTTGTACCAGGAAGAGATTCATAGAGTGAGAGACCAATGGCTTGAATCGGAATATTGGTCTTCGTTGAAGGATCTTTCAGGAATGTGCGCTGTGAGACCGGACACAAGGCGGATTAGAAGGTCAGGTCCGGCTGTATCGCTTCTGTGCGACATACCAGTACACGAGCTGGGAAAAAGCCACTGTCGGGTGAGAGTTGAGATGGAGTTACTGATTAGATATAATAGAACTGACCCTCCCCCTTTTCGTGGGCAATATGAGCATTAGAAATATCATGAAAGCACTCGGACTACGAGTTTAGCGTACCGATCGCAATGAACATGTCAGGCTTGAATTCAGACGCAATCTTGTCCGAGGTTCCTCTGATGATGTTGTGTATATCATTGTAAGTCGACCTGATGTGCTCTGGTTCTCCCATTGTAAAAATTGCGAACTGGGCGTAACTGCAGCTGTATGTTGATCAAAGGAATCTGGTAGATAATTTAACACGTGGCTGTGCACACCCGTGTTGAACGTTATGTAAACTGGGTGACTTTTTCGCGATATTTATCTGGTTTCATGGCAGACAGTACCATATCTACGAGCAATGCGGGCGCGTCCTCCACGCCATCAGGCACTCCAGGACCGTCCGTACCAAAAGCCATAGGCAGCTTGGCAAAAAAGCCTTCTGACGTGACCAGACAAGGATCACAGAAGCTCAAGTTCGTACCCACACTACCATCACGAAGAAAGAAAGAGTGAGCCAATTCTGCCAAATCTAAATCCACGGTTTTTTATGACGTCGTTACCAGGGAAGTTAAACAAGTAAGTATCGTAGAGTACATCTACGCGACTCATCATCATCCTGAACTGGACGCAGGAAGCCCCCCCACCAACCATCCCTAATGCATCTACTGATCGAGGGCGCGGACGTGGGCGGGGAAGGGGCAGGGGAGGAGAAGGTCGCGGTGCCGCTCCCCGCCCAGTTCCAGTAGAAATGACTGCCAGTGGGCCATTCGCTATGGGACCTGCTCTCGCAGGCACCTCAGCACGGCGCAGCGCTCCTCGCTCCAATTTCACACCCATCGTTCCATTGGGACCTGGAAATGCAACTGCTCTTGGTGCTGGTCTCTCTGGAGCTGCCGCTCCTTCATTGAAGAGGGAGAAGGAGACTGTAGCACCGATCATTGACGAAGATGACTACTCTGATCCGGACGAAGGTGTCGAGATTATCGACATGGAGAACGTGAGACAGATGGACTGGATGGCTCCAGAAAGCTTGCGCAAAGAACGTAAAGAAAAGAAGAAGAAAAAGGACATTCAGGTGAAGCTTGAGGATCCATCATCACCTTCAAGTATAAAGAAAAAAGGTAGTTTCCTAACACTTTTCTGCCACCTGAAGCTGAGACAATATCAGAAGAGGAAATGAACATCGAGGAAGTAGATTTGGCTAATGCCCTTGATCTTAGTGAGAGCGAGGAAGAAGAAGAACTCGAGGACCTTATAGATGATTTCGCGGTGCAAGGTGAAGCGGACCAGGTCATTATCCCAAATTTCTATCTGGTACTCGCGCTCATTCACGGTATAGGACGCAGACATACGACAAGAGCGTCTCTACTTCTTCCAGTTCCCTGAGCCGTTTCCAACATTCGTCTCCAATATCCCATTGACCAGTCCGACGGCAATGAGTGTTGATGAGCCTCCATCAGATAGCCATCCACGTAAAGTGTCTTTCGCAGCAGACGTAAAGCCACCAGGTCCTAGCGGAGATCCAGCAGGCACATCCACAGGGCCAGATGCAGAACAAACGAAAGAACTACCAAAAGTTGATGGTGTCATCGGGCAGCTCGAAGTATATCGTAGCGGGGCCGTCAAAATGCGCCTTAGTAATGGCATCCTCATGGATGTTCGTCTAATTCCTATATTTTTGCTCGTATCACTCGTGCTGACAGTTCTATTTAGGTAACTGGCGCAACTCAGCCATCATTTTTACAGCAAGCTGTCCATCTGGATCTGCAAAACAAACGCTTGCACATCATGGGAGAAGTCAACAAGCGGTTTGTCGTCTCGCCAGAAATAGATACACTCCTTCATGCGATGGAGTTGCGCGATCAAGCTGAGGCCAACGCCATGCCAATCGATGACACGAATTTAATCAAGATGGCCTAGTTTGTAAAATTCAAGTGCGGCAGAAAAAATAATCGTAATGATGTTGCAATATGCAGGATACAGCGGACAGCGAAAACGTGTATGCGTGACAAGAAAGAGAGTGCGATAGGTAACAAAACATGATGGATGATTATGCATGGTCCGGATTGTACACTTGCTGAAATGATAATGGCACTGGTTGTGGCGGAGGCCTACTCGAACTGGGACCTGCATTACTTTGATTGGGCTGCATCTTTGACTCCGTGACCGCGGCTCGCAGCCCAGGGTCAAAGAACGGTGAAGGCGCGTCGATATCCTCTTCCGAAGCTGCAGCGTAGTACGGCTCGAATGTCTGAGAAAACGGGAGCTCGAATTCCCTGGTGGCTGGCAATACGAGATCGGGATTTGCTAGTGCTGCGTAATACTGAGCGATGGGTATATCACCATCGGACAGTTCTGACGATCGTCGGTCTGAACCAGATGGGCTTGCACTTGAAGCTGACGAGCCGAATGGTGTGCCGGCGATGCCACTCTTCCGGGGTCCAAGCACGTCTGGATCACCGGGGTTTATAGACGACCGATGAGATTGTGATTGTCTGTCTGTCTGCGCGGCCTGGAGGGAGGTGAATGCACGTTCACGCAGTCTGTGGAGGACAAGCTAGAAACGCATCAGAAAGAGCATTCAATCGTGAGGCTCAGACTATATTACCATGGTTGCTGGAGGCCGACAGGGAAGTGAACCCTCTTCGTAAAGCACCATTCCCTGATCCAGTTCTTGCAATGCGTTCGACGCAAGAGTACATTGTGGACTATCCACCACTATAGCTCCGAGAACGATCTGCTCGCCACATAAGACGCGTTATCAAAATGGACTGTATAGACTCACGCATGCAGAGAATATGGCCGACCAGAAGAACCACGTTCGATCCGTCGGTTGAGAATGCACTCGGTACAACCCATTGAGGCTGGAGATCAACCGACATGCACTGCGATATACAGCCAAGACTGAGGGCGCATATTTGTGCTGAAGGGGGTTGGTAGGGGCCTCTCGAAAAGCCTGTACGAACCAGCTCCGATGGATGTACATCAGATCTGCCAATCATTGGTCTCTTACTGATCAGAATCACAATGATCCCAACTTACTTGCTTCCCTGTGACACAGTGCAGCATATTGCTGCATTGCCTTAGGGGCTTCTGGAGACCAAGCACGCCCTGCTTCTGAGGCTTCCATTGGTGATTGTAAATGTGCCGGCAGGCTGAATTTCCGTATCTTTCGATCCAATTCGAGCAATGCGGAATAGCTTGGAACACGCGTGTTGAACACATGCTGCACAGAAATTCCTAAACAGCTTGCCGAGTAGCGGAACTTCCAGGTATGCCCTAAAACACGTAAAGGGGTGGGCATGAAACGCTTCGCAGAGAAAATAGTCAAATGAAACTTACATCCCATTTCGACAACACCTGAAGGTTTGATCGCGGGATCGAGATCTTCTGGGAACCGGCAGTCTGTATGATTGATGCTCAATGCAGGTGGACGACCATGAAGGATACTCTTTGAAACAGTTCAGCGGGCAGAGAGATCAAGCATCAAAGAGCGCACCGTCCACGCGTCAACCGAGTAGATTTCCCAAAATAAAACGCGTCGTCTTTGTATTTCTTCCTGCCCTAGACCCCACCCAGCGTTATCGCGTTCTGTGATTCGTCCATCAGTGTGCGGCACCGATGTAGTGTGGGGAGGCACTTACGTAGACCGATCTGTGAGATAGTGTGTAATCATGAGTTCTTTGGTTCTTCGAAACGGCAGCATTATGCTCACTAATTGTGCAATTCTCGCCACGATGCCCATGAGAAGCCACCTGGCTTCGTTGTTCGTACGATCAGATTGGTAGATATGTCCGAATGCCATGAAAAGGGCCTGTACAGTAGCGCAAGTAGCGTCTTGGGAAATCGGATCGAGTGATAGCGCTGCGCGGGAAAGGGCATAGTACTGTTCAGCAAGCACCGCTGAAGATTGTGATTGATCGTGAAGGACTCCTGAGGCCAGCAGGATGAAAAAAACGGAAAGTCGGTGCGAATGGATGTTATTAACGTTAGGGGAACCGGTGTGGCCATACAGTGGGATTAGAATATTTGTCATGAAGTCGTCTCGTACGATTGGGTCGAACCTAAGATTCCGTAGGTCAATGATCATCGGCTGCAGCCGTGCACGACGAGCTCACATCCATGCGACATTTCGATAATATAGCTCCATAAGCTGCAAGGCTCGTTCGCGGGGAGGCAGAAAAGGTAAGAAGAGAAATTTCGTGTATTGACTGTCCCTCAGACCGAAGGGGTATGCATTGGAGAGATCAATGATCTCAAATGGAAGTCCCAAGTATTTCGGGTCAGCCGAGACGCTCTGCTGTGATGGATAACCGTCAGGCTATTGTGTGATTTACATGAGTGATGTTGTCTTCCGAAAATGAAGTTCAACCAACCGGAAACAATGGTTGAAAGTACTGGATGGCGCATATAATCAGGGGCTTGCACAAAAACGATCGGAATGGGTTGGCTCACCTCCGACCCAACGGAGTCGCCGTGATATTTAGTGCGGCCATTGCCATCGATCGATAAAGATCCGATGCTTTCTGTTACATCGTGGACTTCATCATCGTAGATAGTCCGAAGGCCTGGCTCTTCAATGTGTTCGTGTGGCTGGGAGGAAGTTTGCAGGAGAGGATGTGGTCCGCTTCCATCACGATTGGATTTCTGAGATTCATGAAGTGCTTCTTCTAGCTCTTTTATTCTCCCAGTCATGGTCTTTACTTGTTCTGACAGCCGCTGTGCATGAGCCATGAGAACCCTTTCATAAAGGAAGTTAAAGTTAGATTCCGAGTCGGAGGAGCCGAGAAGGACCCACTTGTTTCCTTTCGTGGCGGCGAGAGTCCCTAGGACATTGCGGATGAGATGAATGAATGTTATAAGAGCTAGGTTCTTACCCTCTGGACAGATATTCGCACATCCACGTCGCATACATGACTGGCACGGGAACACTCTGCAGAAGTCAGCTATCGAAATGCAGATGGACTTGCTTATTGGACTTACCTGTCGCACTTGAGCTTGGATCTAGACAAGTTCAAGTTCAAGTAGGACTAGTATTTCCAAGTGAATAGCAGATACGACATACCGACGACATTCCGCGCATGACAATCCGGACTTTTTGGGACCCCCTACATTATGCATACTAGGAGTGATGTTCCTAACGCGTATACTGCTCTCGACGTCGACATTCATGGTGGGACATAAATGTCGTGATTATGTCGTGAAGGTGAAGGTATGATGGTAAGCATTCAAGTTGAAATTTTGGCCATGATCAGCTGGTTTTAGTGACGAAGTCCCCTTTCCTCTTCCTGGTAGGACGTACCGGAGACGTAGCCGGGAGATTCGCTACCTATTTTCCGGAGGCCATGAGCCAAAGTGGTGATGAAGACAGTAAGGAAGAGTTACCGCGGCAGTGGAGCCAAGACAAGAACACTAGTCTCAGTTTACAAAAACGCGGATTTAGGGCTCGGATGATCGACAGTCTTATAGTGTTCCGAGGACCGACGATAGGGCTGCTGCCAAACGGGCTAATACATTGTGAAGTATATAAATGCGTTGTAAACGCCCAACAGTTACATTTAGAGTTTTTTATATGGACACTAACGTACTCACCCGACGTTTAGCACGGCCGCCATCAAGCAATTTTCAGGTGACAAGTTACTCTCCGAGATAACCGTAGCCTATGATCTTACGTTTCGGTGCAAGTGCTCCAACTACCACCATTCAGATCTTCACAAAGTGCCGGTTGCCTATCGTCCAGTGACAAAACTTTCTCGCCGATCACAGATAAATTTAAACATGTTGCATTGAACCTAAACTCTGCCTTGTACACTCTACAATACAATGGGAGTCGTACTAAACTGAGCCTGACAAGAAAATCGTCAGTAAATCCGTCGGTAGGTAAGACACAGAAAAAAAGAATGAATCAGTCAAAGCGGAAGGATACTGCCAAAGCAGCTCCCCCGAAGGTAGCTGAGATATATTTCTGCACCGCAGGGTGCGCTCCTGCTAAAGCCAAATGCCTCAAACATCATATGCACGTACGCTGAACCTAACAGGTTCGAAAATCGATAGAAAAGACTCACCATGCGACCGATTGAGTACAAAGGTAAAAGTAAAATTTGCATGTGGGAAGATTTTATACTGCAACCATCTTGCCTGGCTAACTCCGACAGGCTTCTTCCGGCGCTCACTGTAACATCGTAGATCATGTCGACCCCAGCAGCATTTGCAGACTCGCCAACGGCACAATCCCAGCCTTCTCCTTACACATACTACCCACCGGGAACCTTTCCTGATGTATCTCAGCCGCAGTCCTCTCAAACAGCTACTACGGCTCCAGGCTCAAGCTCCTCTACAACCGCAACAACTCAACCACAATCCCGTCAGGCAGCCGAGGAGGCCCGCAAGGATCGTACCCTAGCTGAATTCCTTGTTATGCTTGATGATTATGAACCCCTGGTACTCGTGTAGCTTTCGTAATTCAAGTGGAGCTGAAAGTGCTGTCCAGATTCCCAATGAAGTAACAGACTACTATCTCCAGAGGGTAGGATTTGAATGCGAAGACGTGCGGCTGTGAGTATCCCAGGATATTTTCTAGTATAGACTCATTACGTTCATTCTACATATGCAGAAAACGCCTGCTTTCCCTAGCCGCGCAGAAGTTCGTATCCGATATTGCTGCCGATGCCTACCAGCATGCTCGTATACGTACGAACGCCGTTGGTGGCCGCGCTCGGGGCCCCCTTACTGGACCAGGGTCAAAGGTACGCCACTGTTCTTCACTGCCCTGCCTTGCATAAATCACCTTGCTTCTAGGATAAGACAAGGACCGCACTAACCATGGATGACTTGAGTGCCGCATTGGCCGAGTACGGCATTAATGCTAAAAAACCAGAATTTTATCTGTGAGCATGCAGAGGAGTTGCGTTTTCACTATCACTCGTTCCGATGTATTCTAGATAGTAGCAAGCACAATAAAACAAATGGCAAGTGCTAGTGAATGGGGAAACACTATGAACTATCTGTCTCGCCTTTGTAATCCGCGGACATCGGGGTCAAAATTATTAATGACATCTCGCTTGTGAATGACTTCGTTCTAGCGTTCTTACTCTTTAGTAGCGACGCCATTGGACCTGCAATAGGAAACGAGCTGCCTACAGTGCACTATATTTTCGGAGAGGCGTACGCAGAATGGGTGCGATGTCAATATCTTTAACTTATTTGAACAGCCTGAGCTTCATGAACTTGGTCAAGACTCTACATGCGCTTCAGAACCGCATCCATAGCAAATTTAGTCACTCATTGGCCAGTTCTCCAGACCGGAGAAAATTTCGCCTGATGCAAAATTTCACTCGCTGTGCAAATCCATCGAAAGGTTCAAGGATTATTGATATATCAAGTCTTAGCGACTACGCCCCAACCTTTAGCGACCACTACGCCGCAACTAACCCCAGCTGTGCCCCCCTTGTACCCTAATTGGACACAGTCGAAATCCATTTATCTCCTCGACGGTATCCCCTCTACTCTTCCCGTGTTCAACGGGACTGTCTTACTTACCCCTTGGATCAAAGTTTCTTCGCATCAGTGATTAATTCCTGCACAGACGACAGAAGCTTGCATCCTACATGGCTGGATCTCGCGCTGTCACGGTGCACACCGCTAAAAATATAATTGAACATAGTATGGATCAGGTACTAGTCAGTCTTCCATTATTAAATTTTTCTTGGGGAGATTCCTACGTACACGATACAACCATTTCACAAATCAGTTTCAACTGCCAGATATACTCAAACATCCAAAGGACGTGATCAAACCCACACTGCCCGTGCACAACGGGAGGTCGTTCCGATTCGAATGCTCGTTTACGGCGGGCTAGGAATGACTCATTGGAATGGAAAGGACGATCGGGAGACCCGGCATGTATGAATCCGACTCCCCACCAACATGGGATAGTACCAAGACTGTGCTAATGTCCTGGAATGATCTCCATAAACCTTTGCCCGGGTCTTATGTATCCGAGTTTTGCTCGCTTGAACTTTAGTCACAATATCGGGAGGCACATGCAGCACTTGCGGTCGCATGCTTTCAAACAAGCGTCGATCTGCTGCATTATACATCGGCGGAATGTCGGAAATCTCTTCCCTCAATTCAGCAATCAAGCGACGCAGCTTCCAACAAATGGTGCATCGTTGAGTAACGTTAAGCATGTATAGCATGGTAGCACCGGCTGTGTATTCTCCACTTCGTGCCTATAATTAAGAGGCTGAGAAGAATAGAAAGAGACAACCAGTCACGTTTCACTTGCGCACACAAGAGTTTAAACTGGATGTGGAATTACAGACAGTCTATATGTAACTCATCATCATGCACATAAATGTGGAACGTTGTCAATAATAAACCAAACTGTAACGCAAATGGAAGAGACGAGCACATGAGTACTAAAAGAAATGTGCAGCCCATCATCTGTCACATACCGACAAGAAAGGAAAAATAAGGGGTCCACGAGTAAAAAAAGAATGGAGCAATCCATCATCTGTCAAGTACATGCTGATAAAGGAAAAAGAAATCAAGGAACCTTTGAACAACGAGGGAAAGAGAAGAGACTCAGACTAGAAATGCGTGCAGGACCACAAGCGGTCTGTTCTGGCCTTCGACTTTTTGGGTGGTGGAATTATAGGTCGTGCGGACAGAGAAGAAGGCCAATAGGTTGTTGCAGGATTCGGTCGTAGGGGACCTCTGACATCGAATATTACGCAGATGCTAAGCGGTGCGTAGAGATAGTGCGTGGGTGGCCAGCGGTGACCTTCAACCTCGTGAGGGACATCGAGGAAAGGCCGTGCGCGTCTTTCGGGATGCGAGTAGGGTTGTGGATAAACTTGTACCGCTCTAGTTGGGGCGCCAGCGTGGATGTAAAGCCGAGCTCGGTCGTGGCGTCGGCCCAGCCATCGACAAGAGCCGCTTAGTCGGCGAGGATCTCGTCACGGAATCGCTCGAGATGGCCTGTTTAGAATCAGGAAATGTTGTGAACATCATGAGAAGTTGCTCGCCGATGTAAGTCCGTGCACGTGCGGCAAGCAAACGATCATAATGCTAACAAACTAAGGTGAGCGTCGTAATAAATTTGGTGATCATGTTATACCTGTTGTTTGCGCCTATTGGAGATGCGCACCATATCTGGAGGACTTAGTACTGATGAAAAGGGCACTATTGATATTGTCCACGATGAGTTGGGGGTTGCAAGGAAGGGAAGGTCGGGGGTTGCGAAGGCATCGAAGCCCTTGAGGTGGTCATCATTGTCGACTACAAACGTTGTGCCCGAGCCTATGGAAAAGTGCTTGTGCCTTTGGATTCTTGATGGAGCGGGCGTGTAGATGTCAGCGACATTGTCGCCAGCAAGAAGGGCGGCAACGCCGGCGGGGCCATCAGAGGACTGGTGAGAAAGTTATATTGTTTTACATTACAATATATGCAGAGCGGCATGTCCTTTATTTCGTCGCTAAAAGCAATATAAATTCATCTATTACGACGTAAAGGCCCCGCAATCAACGTAACGCACCCTAAAGCACTCATCGGATGGTCGGCGGCCAGGGAGTGAGAAGTTTCCTCGAGGGACTAATCTCTTTGCGGTTTTGTCACGGTGGGAGGCAAGAACCAGAATAGCTGTCGAGATGTAGAACTTCGAATCTCGGCGCCAACAGAGAGGTGGTCGTCCGCGTCGTAAAGTGTCCGACGGGTAGCGTCGAACACGACGAAGAAAGAGACAGCGAGACAGCTGGTGACAGTGACGCGTGCAGAAGTATATCATAGTTTCAATGGTCAGACCGGTCAAAGTTGATTTAAGTCAGCCGCGGCACTTGGCTCGGACGCGTCAAGTCACATGTTTGAAAACCAACCTTAACTAAGGGCACCTAGGTTCTGAAATATGAGCTTGATTGCGAGAAAGTTGACAGAATGGGCGTGATTAACGGGTTTCATGATATAATTACTATGGCTAGGCTATAGGTATCCGTAACTTGACCACGAATAGTCGATCGGATAAACGATACTCGAAACAATGTCTGCTAGCCTGAGGGAGGCGCTTGCGTTACAGGTCGGAGAAGATCCTTAACGCAAGTTAGAATGAGTATGACTGAAGTCTTTGGAGGATATTATCGACATCAGATAAGCTCGTCTCCTTACGAGCAACTTCGAGGAAAACCTCCCTTTCTTCCCCGCCGGTGTTGTCTCTTTTCGAAACATGCCAGTGCTGTGGTTGTTGACCTCGAGAGAAAACCTCGGTGATGTGCAACCCCCTATTGCAAGGTCCATCAAAATTATACTGGAATAGAAAAGGCGTAACACGTACTGCTCCAATAGTTGCTTTCCGTTGTATAGGTAATCCGACTTCGCAACGAAGTCAGGACTGGCTGCCGTAAAGTGGTCGAAACTAATGAGATAGTTATCTTTGGGCTGCAAAATCTTCGTCGCCGAAGGTAAGATCTCAGAAGCCCTGCGCGTACCCATGTGAGTTTTGCTCTTCTACTCTAAGTACTTATACGTACCGCGTTGCTTCTGCAGCAATTAGGTTCTCGATGTCATGTAGCATTTGAGATGTAGCTTCAGATATAACATGTGTGTCGTAGTCTTCTACGTTATCGGCATCCGCTATGAGAGCCACAGCCAAGCTTTGACACTAGCAAGGTAATGTGAACGCAAGGGAGAATAAGTACGAGTCGGTGCTTACTCTTAGATGTATAACTTGCCTTCGGCGAGTTTCCAATGGGTCACCACTTTCAGGTAGAAACACAAAAGTACAAGCGAAGTCCAATTGACGGTGACGATCGGGTTTTTCGGGCTCAGGAGGGGATGTAGATGAGTCATCTGCAGGAAGCGGTGATGGGACTCGAGAAGGTCGTGGAGTGTCTCCGCTGTGGTCCATCTCCGAACACCCTTCACGTGCAGCATCAGGATCTGTGACAGATAACCCATCATTTGCCTTCTCCAGTAGGCAGTGTATATCGGCAGAGGATATCGCATCTCCTAAAGCGTCCCTGTCAACTTCCACTACAGTGCTCACACTTTCGGCCACGGAGGGATTAGGTTTCATTCCTTCTCGGTCTGTCACTGGCGATTTTGGTTCAGCGCCCTTCCCAAACGTCAACGCCCCGGGCCAACTCCAGTTCCGAACATCCATGCTCATGGCGAGACTAGAAGGCATGCCCAAGAACCCACTCGAGGGATTACCGCTAGAGCCGACTTCTTTGGCTGCCGTGCTTGCGGTCGCTCCCTTTTCAGTGGGTGAAGAGGCTTCCGGGCCACCATCCGCTTCATGATGTGGTAAATGGCGTGGAATCAGAGAGAGAAGGTGTCGCGAGAGTGCAGGTGGATAATTAGATTGTCTGTATCCTGTAGACGGAACTACGTGAGGAGGAGAAAGAAACAATGCATCCAGTCCAGCTGGTAACTGCGATGAAAAGGTATCCAGTAGAGGTAGAATAGAGGGGTATAATGGGTGAAGCGACAAGCCTAAGTCAAATCGGCAAGTTAGCGATGATACGCGATGCCCAGACATATAACGCACCAAGGTCGTCGTTCAACTCAAACCTCTTGCTTAAATCCCATGACCACGCCCATACAGTGAAGAATCTTTCTAGCTGCAACTCTAATGCTTCCTGGCCGAAGGAATTCAAGATCGAGGTGAAGGACCCATGCGTAAGTTTGAATTGCTCGTATCCCCGGAGCAGGTGCGCGCGGAGTGCATAATCGTGAAACGAGCCTTCGTGATAGTCATAAGAGGGTTGCAGAGTGCTTGCTTTCTCTTTCTCTTTTCCCTTTCCTTTTCCTTTTCCGTTACCCTTGCCCTTATCCTTCGGTTTGGGCAGAAGCGTCCGTGGTGTCTTTGCAAGCTCTACCGCCTGGCAAAAACTAGC